CTTTGGAAGTATAGCTGGATGCTTTACTTGTGGTTGTAACGTGCCATGACTTAAGCGTCCTCCCACTCTTAGCACTTCTTTTTCATCCAACATTGGACTTAATTTGTTCAGATTGCTATACTTAGTCTTGGCTATAACTTCCCTTACTTTCAAGCTCTTTATCTCATCTGGGAACGCTTCCTCTTGAACTAGCTTGATGATAGCAACTTCCGCTTCTTTCCTTTCTTCTAAACTTGTACTCTCGTCCGTTCTTTGTTTCACACCTTTGTGTTCTTTGACTCGTCGTTTCAATCTGGCAACTGCTTGTACTACCCTTGACCAGTCAGAAAACTTCTCAAGGCGGTTGAGTAACGATCTGTCTTCCTTTGCTTGAGTGTTAAACACTAGAACCTTGCGAAGCTCCGGATCATCATCTTTAACATCTCCCACCTTGCATTCTTGGACAGGTAATTCTTTGTGCCAAAGAAACTTCGGTCCAGAGAACCAATTGGACGTCTTAAGTTGCTCTGCAGTCAACCCTCGAGAGGCATGATCTGCCGGATTGTCCTCAGATGCAACATAGGCCCATTGCTCAGGCTTTGTACTTGATTTGATTCTTTGTATTCGATTGGCTACGAACACTTGAAATCTTCTGGCGTCATTGTTTATGTAGCCAAGAACGACTGTGGAATCCGTCCAGAAGTATTCCTTCAGGTCTTGGATTTCCAGTTCGTTACGAAGCATGTCGCTGGCTCGAACTGCAACTACTGCCGCAGACAGCTCAAGTCTTGGTATCGTCATGACTTTGGTTGGCGAAACTCTTGATTTTCCCATTACCAAACTGCAATGGACTTCATCGGATTCGTCAACAGCTCTAAGGTAAGTACACATACCATATCCTGAGGTACTTGCGTCACTGAAGTGGTGAAGTTCAAACCTCTTGATGTTCCCGAAATCTGAAGATAAGTAGCATCTTCTGACTTCCATGTCAGCTAAGTTAGGTAGGTCTGTAATCCAAGACTCCCACTGAGGTCTTAGGCTTTCTGGCAGCTCTTCGTCCCAGCCTATCTTCTCTCTACACATTTGCTGGAGAATTTGCTTTCCATGGAGGACGAAAGGTGCCATGAATCCTAACGGATCATAGACAGAGGCTACAGTAGAGAGCACACCTCTTCTAGTCGATGGGTTGGACTTTACTTGAATTC